AAAATAAATACGATAAATAAAAACTATTGACATAATTATACATGCCACTATAAGTCAAAAGAAACATCATAAATGTCTTACTGATACTGATGATATGTATGTCTTTCCAAAAGATGCTCCGATAGCTGCTTACTGATCGTACTTATCCTTTCTAGAACCTACGCATGAAAATCATCACGCGCTAAGTATAACTTAGTGAGGCAATAATACTAAAGGTGAGAACAAATAAATAAAATATCAAAATATATAAGATCATTAAAATAAGACAGACTAAATTTTTCAGAACGTTCAAATCAGATATCTCATGTTGAACTTTATCATAAATCTGAATATAATCATATGATAATTTTCACAAGATCATAATAAATCAGATCAGACAAAATAATCAGTTCATATTCCTTTGTAGTCAGACACTTTTCAGAACTTTCTTATTTCATTTTTATAGCCCAAAGTATATTTTAAGAGAATATAAGGTATGTGAGTCAGACGAGTGTGCGCAATACAAATCTCAGATCATCAGAGTCGAAACAAATAAGCACACACAATGCTATCACATCGAAAATAACAATATGCACACCAAGTGCAATCATATCAGAATATATATACTAGTGTACACTCTGGTACACCACAATATATCAGAACAGATAATCACTCCACCTCATGGCATGCCAATTGTACCTATGACTCTCCATATAACATACATTGGGCTTTTAGTTCATTTCGTAATCATTTGATAAAATCATATCAGAATCAGAAATGTATTTAATTCACATTCGTAAAATGTGACATGGGCAGTTCATACCCAAAGTCATTCATAAAATTTATTAAAAATATTACGGATATAATACCATAGTCAAAACATAATTCATATATTTGAAATAAATAATGTGAGGTTGACTTATCGCAAGTCATCCTCAATCAAAATAATTAAATAAATAAATTGCACTCACCTTTGCCTCACTACAAAACTTGTATACAATAATCATAGTCACGAGCTTTGTCATTTCCTTTCAGATCGTTCGGATTGCTAGTTTTATTGAAATCTGACAATACCAAATTATTACCCAAAATGTTTAACTACATATTAATATCGTTCTAACATAAGCTCATTTTAACATTTGAAAATCTTTAAAATAAAATCGATAACTAAATCGATATCAACTTAACTCATAACTCCATTATAACTTCAAACTTCTCGAAACACTTATTCAATTCCAGAAATTCCGGTAATTCCATAAATTCCATAAATTCAAGAAATTCCAGTACTGGAATTATTACCAACCAATTACTTTTACAAAGGTACAATTACCTTTGAGCACCCTAACTATGTGAATGTTGCACTTCAATCACTAATCTTTTCAAACTTCCAAAATGGTCATATTTCACATCTAAATGCTCATTTCAATCCCAAAAAAACAATTTCCAGCATATTACATCAACTATTAGACAATTATACAACCATTCACAACTTTTCCAAAATTACCAAATTAGTCCCCCAACTTTTCAAAAATTACAAAATACTTCCTACATCATTTCCATACCTTATATAATTTTTCCATAATTTTTCTCACTCAAATACATCATGATTGAATACTTTATCCTTTAAAACTACGTTTTCATGATTTTGTTCGATTTTGATTCGATTCAAGCATGAAATCAACTTTCAATCAACCTTTTAGCATCTCCACAATTAAATCCCTAACCAACTCTCATTAGAACACAAAGCTCTACAATTTGCTCTTTTTGCCGAATTTAAAGAATAATTTCTAGAAAGAATGAACATGTTTTAACCATAAATCAAGCTTGAAAATGAATCTACAACCTCTAAATCATCAAGATTTATCATCAATTTCATGAATCATATCATGAACATAAACCCTTAGATTTGGGATCTTTCAAATTCAACAAGATTAGAAAGAAATATTGGTACCAAATGATAGAGTTTTTTGCGGATATCACTTTCCTATTTTACAGCATACTCAATTTCCAAAGGAATTGGCTCAAAATTGAAAACAAAAATATTTGCTTACCTTGGAAGAAGCTCACGTTCTTTTCTGGAGAATATGAAGAGATTCATATGATATTTCTTCATCTTTCTTAATTAATAATGAATTAAAAATTCATTAAATGTCAAATTACCACTTTACCTTGAAATTAAAATATCCTTACTAATTTACCCTTAATGAACTTGATATTTACATTAATACCAAGTTACAACAGCCTTATCATCTTCCAATAATCAAAGATAGACAAAATATTTTCCCACTTTACTATTTTACCCTTGCAATTTCCAAAACTTACAATTCCGTCACTTTGATCCAACTATCCAAATTAAACATGGAATTAAACCATTAAATATTATTTTCTAACATTTTAAAAATGTGAAAAATAATATTTTTATTTTCTTATTTTCGTGACCAAGTTGTAACTTTTTAAAATTACATTTTGGTCCTTGAACTTTTAAAAGTTTATACTTTGGACACCAGACTTTCCAAATCTTAATTTGATCACTAGACTAAATCCATTTATGGAATAAATTTTTTTTGGGAAAAATACCATTTATGTCTTTAAACGTTTCCCAATTTTCTACTTTGATCTTCAAACTTTCAAAATTTACATTTTAGTCACTAGTCTAAATTTGGGGTATTACACGACATGGGTCGGTACAGATTAGTCTAACCGAAACATTGGAAATGGGAAAGAAGAAAAAATGATTACTTTAAACTCACCATGTGCACTTTTAGTTTAAGGTAATGCCTTTTTTATGGGAAGTCATATGGTGCGACACCCTTAATATACGGATGAAAAAGACAGTACCGGTTTTGTTATTATTTAAATAACAAAACCGGTAAAAAATTACCTAAAATATTATTATTTCTACCTAAAACATCAATGTTTTTTAATATTTCCGGTAAAATGCCCAACAATAACAAAATCGGTAGCGCTTTACCGGTTTTGTTAAGAAACCCGGTAAAATGCCAAATAATAACAAAACCGATAGAAATAATAATGTTTCTGATAATTTTTTACTGATTTTATTATTTAAATAATAACAAAATTAATAACGTTTTTTTATCTTACTAATGTCTATGCTACTTTTCAATCCTCGATAAGTGAGCTTTTTTTATCTTACTAATGTCTATGCTACTTTTCAATCCTCGATAAGTGAGCTATTCAAGTAATAATTAAGAAAGTTTGTGTTGATGTTTTTTATGACATATTGGTTTTAACTCCAATTTGATTGATATTTTAGGCATCTTAGAATAGTCTTATCTATCCTTTAAGAACATGAGTTGTTTTCCAAGAGAAGTAAGTGTTTCTTTGGACAAACACAAGTTGAATATTTGAGACACTGTATTTGAATAAAAATATTCTAATTTAATCTAAGTCTAAGTCGATCTTAAGAAAAAATTGATCCAAAATCGATTAGAAAAAGTTTGAATTCGAATCTAAAAAAATATATTTGAGTCCTAATAGGAGATGGATCAGATATGGAACCTACCAAGATCTAATCCGAGTTGGATCCAAATCTGATCCATATTCGAGTCCCAATTAAAAAAATTAGTATTTGTGATTATTTTTAGCTACAACAAATGATGATGAAGATGTAGAACTTGAGATGAATCATTACAATGATTGGTAGGTTTATATACAATTATTATTTTTAAATGATCAACATTTTTTTACAATTTTATTAGTGGTTTTTTCTCTTTATTTTATAGGTTTTGTTGAGCATTAGGGAACAATGAAAGTTTGGTGGTTGGATTTTTTTTTTTGTAATGAATGTTGGTGGTTGAATATGTTAGTTGTAGTTTAATTTGTTTCATCTTGAGTTGTAATATTTGATATATATTTATTTATAATTGTGATTTGAAAAGACATCAGTCGTTGTTATGCGGGTAGATTAGACTAATAAAATTATTATAGTTTATGTGAGGACAATTATGTGTTGAGACTTTTAAATTGGATTCTGAGCTACAACTATATTTTGTTTCACATTATTTACAATATTTGTTCAGATTTGTTTGTGCTACTACTTCAAAGATATTTTTAGTGCCACTTTACAAAAAAGAAAAAATTAATCGAATTTTGGACATTTTATTCGAATCGAACTTAAATTGACTTAGAGGTCCGATTGTTGATTGGATTAGGTTTGGACTTTATAAAATCTAACCCAAGTCTAATCCATTATCCCTAATTCAAATATTAGTAATTTTCCTTTTAAAAAATTAATTCTTTTTATAAAAAAAGTTACCATTTCTCAAAAATAAAATAGTTAATAAAAATATTCATCTAATTGAACATTCTAATTTTGATTATAATTGAATGGTAGAAATGCGCAGGTACATGCGAACACATTTCAATCGCCTTAGGTGTTGGCCATGAATGCGAAACTCCTTCAGCATGAGTTTTCTACGGCTAAGGACTTTGCTTGTGGCCGTGGAGTGCCTCTTGTTCCTTCTGGACAAGTATGAAGTACCTCCTTCTTCTTCTACCGTAGTTGAGACGTGGAGGCCTCTGACTCATGGGTTCATTAAAATCAATGTGAACGGTGCCTTTGATTCTTTTTCTTGATTGGTAGCAGTCAGGGTGGTGGCTCGCGACTCTTCTAGCCAGGTGTTGGGGGGATTAGCGTCGGCGGCATCGAGCTGTGGAGAGTCGGGACTTACTGAGATTCATGCTTTTGTTGCAGGTCTGAAACTTACGCAGGATGACACCAGGTGATTTTGGAGACTGAATCTGCCTTGCTGGTCAATAAGGTTAATCGTGGAGTAGCTTATTTGTCTACTTTAAGTTTTCATCTTAGTGACGTTTGTCAGAGTTTAGTTCACAATCCCGGTTATGTTGTTCAGTTTATTCCTCGTGATTGTAACATTGTGGCTAATGAATTGGCCTCGTGGACTCATCGTTTTGGGAGCTTGTTGTATTTTGATTCGGTTTGTCCCAAGATGTCAGTTCTACGTAAAAGCATTTTGATTCTGATAAATTAATTGATTTAAGCATATATTGTAATGTCAACAAATATTGGAATTAGTATTGGCATCATCAAGCAAAAGGAATTTCAAGTGATTATCAATCCCTAACAAAACCAGCATGACATCCTCCACAAGCAAATGCGACATGTCTCCCGCAACGAATTCGGACATCCTGCCACCAATTTCGATCAAACTACACCCTGGTTCTTTTCTGACCTTCTTTGTTCCCATCTCCTCCCTCACCTTTACGACTCGGTCCCATCTGTTAGAAGATGCGTACATGTTCGACAGCAGGACATGAACCCCACCATGGTCGAGACCTCGCTCAACCAAGCTCTCGACCATCTCCTTTCCCAACTCAACATCACCATGCACTCTACAAGAATTGAGTAATGCACCCAACACATAGGAGTCTGGTTCCATAGGCATCTCTCCCACAAATCTCTTTGCCTCTTCAAGCAGTCCAGCTCTCCCTAAAAGATCTACCAAACAGCCATAATGCTGGACGCCTGGTTCAATACCATAAACTGCACTCATGCAATTGAAGATTCTTAACCCCTCATCCACCAATCCCATTCGACTACAAGCGCTTAAGACGCTTATGAAAGTAACTTCGTTTGGAAAAACTTTTTCGCTTTGCATCCTCGCAAACAACCGAATTGCATCCGCACTTCGGCCATGGTTAGCCAGGCCTGAAATCAAAGATGTAAATGCAAAAACATCCTTATCAGGCATCTTTTCGAATACTGAATATGCTATTTCGATGCAGCCGCATTTGGCATACATATCAACAAGGGCAGTGCCCAAAACCCTATCCAACTCCATTCCATTTCTATCAACATATGCATGTATCCACCTTCCATGATCCAAAGATCCAAGAGATGCACAAGCAGTGAGGGCTCCCACAATCCCAGCATGATTCGGATGTAGACCGGAAAGTTGCATACTGTTAAAGAGTTCCAAAGCCTGACTAAACATCCCCATATGAATATACCCAGTAATCATTGCACTCCACGAAACCGCATTTCTTTCAGGCATTTGACCAAACAGTTCCCTTGCAAGGTCGGCTTGGCCAGATTTAACATACCCATTAATCAAAGCAGTCCACGTAATGACATCTCTGGCAGTACTTACATCAAACAGTTTACGAGCAGCTTCCATTGAGTTCCAATTAGCGTAGAGATGGATCAATCCGTTTAGCACAAAATCATAAGATTCCCAACCCAACTTAATCACTTGAGCATGAGAAGCTAAACCCAGAGTTGAATTCTCGGTACAGGCTCGAAGAACGAAAGAGAAGGTATAGTTGTTGGGCAAGAACCCAGATTGAAGCATGTTTTTGTATACAGAAAGGGCGGTGGCATTTTCGTTTTTCTCCACGAAAACTCTAATGATGGTGTTCCAAATAAAGGTGGTTCGATGTTGAAGAGAAAAGAAGAGTTTGTAAGCATGAGAGACGTCAGCGTTGGAGGAGACGGCAAAGAAAGAAATGATTTTCCCGGCGGCAAAAGGGTCCGAAAGTGCGGCTGAGACGATGAGATGAGATTGCAGCTGCTTGACTTGAGACATTGTACGACATTGCTCCAGCAAAGAAAGACATCTTTGGCTAGCCTTCACATATCTGGCTGACATTGTCAATTTAGACCATTGTTTTTAATCATTTTCTCTTTGATTTTGCAGAATTTTGCTTCCTCTTGTTTGACTAATGAAATCAACAGCTTATAGACACAGATACATATGACCTATAAATGCAGAATCTAACAAGTTTGACCCGTATCATCTATTCTATTTAAGTGCCTAATTTTGATCAAGATAAGTATTTAAATTAGGGTAAATTATGCACATGGCCATTAATGTTTGAGTAAGTTTTCGTTTTCACTACTAATGTTTCAAAAGTCAAAAATCAATCACTAACGTTATTGTTTGTTACAAAATGATCACTCACATTCAACCACCGTTAATTTAAGTGACAGAAAGCTTAGTTGGACTGTTAAATACTCATCTAAACCATTGACTGCGATGACTGATCACCCACTACTATCACCGTGTTCCTTATTCTCCTTTTCTCTGCTTGCTTTCTATTCTCTCCTTCACACTCGTTCCGCCATATCTTCCTACCTTTTCTACCTAAGCTTTCATCCCCTAATCTTGTCGTTGCCTCTAATCGAGTCTCATGTCTTTCTACAATCTCATTTCTGTCGAAGCTGCTATCAGCATTAATATATAACCCAACAACTTTCTTCTATAGACCCTCAGAAAAGAAAACACACATCTTCCCTATCTTATCATCGCTCTTTTTCATAATCAAACATAAATAATAGACAAAAAAACCCAGAAACAAAGAAACAAAGATTCTTAAAATACCAAGCACGTGTTCATATTTTCCTCCTCTTTGTTTCTTGCTCCCACTCTTTCATAAAATAATTACTCTGCTTAAGAACTCTATAGTTCCCTATATTTTTCTATCGATGGGTGTCAGTTTCTCTGCTTTGTTCATCATCGATTGTTTATCATCTGATTCTTCATCTTCATCACTTAGTTTGGGGGATTTGCCAGAGGGTTGTGTGGCTACAATTATTGAGTCTTTGAATTCGTCATAGATATCTAAATTGGCGAAGTTGAACAAAGCATTCAAAGGTGCTTCTTAGGGTGATTTTGTTTGGGGATCGAAACTTCCACCCAAATATCAAGTTCTTGTTGATAAAATTATTCCCTCTGTGCCTGAAAATCTGTATAAACGAGATATTTATTCAAGGCTTTGTAGAGGTAATAATCTTGATGGTGGCGCCAATGCATGTTTTTTGTTCTATTCTTTTTGGTTTATTTTTTGTTTTAATTTCTGGGTCTTCGATTTTCTTGTGGATTGGTTCTTTTCATGAACTCTTAATAAATTTATTCAGAGATTTGATTTTTTTTAAAAATCGTTCAAAAGAACATAGCAAATCTTAGTAATAATCTAGTTGTGTTCTTAATTTAACTCTGGTTCTTTTGCAGAAAGTATGGCTATATAAGACTTCAAGCGGTGTATGTATGTCAATATCTTCAAAGGGTTACATATAACGAGGATTGATGATCGAAAAATACTGGAATCATTGTCCAACTGATGAATCTAGGTGAGGATTCAAGAGCTTATCCAGTTATCCCATTTTTTCATGTATTCTCATATTGGATTAATGAGAATGGTAGAACTTCTGGTTCCTTATCATGGACTTTTTAGATTAGCTTATCAAAATCAAGAGTTCTCGGGGCATAACATTCCAAAATGATACGAAGTGTATTCTATTTTTTTGTTTGTTTTTATTAAATTTTGTGAGAGGATGAAATTAGAGAGCGGGTAGAGGAAGGCAGTGGATAATAAAGAAGACGGTGATGATAGTGGGGTGACTGGTAAATGATCTAAATAACCAGTCAACAGTACAACTCAACTTTCCGTAACCCAAATTAACCGCTGTTAATATCGAGTGACCAATTTATAACAAACGATAACGTTAGTGAGAGATTTGTGACTTTTGAATCATCAGTGGTGAAAACTAAAACTTACTCAAACATTAGTGATCATTTAAATAGTTTACACATAAAATTATCATCATAATAAAAAAATAAAGGTATATAAAGTATTTTTCAGTTAAAATAAATATTGAAAATATTTAATTTATTCATTTAAACTTTAAAAAATTGACACAAGATACTAATCAATGAATATTTTAAAGAGATAGTATATTTTAGATATTTATTTTAACCAATAAATACTTTAGATACCTATTTTTAACAAAAAAATGATAACTTTAAGTACTTATTTTGAAAAAAAACTTAAAAAACTTAAATTATACCATATATATATTCTATTTTAAGTTTAAAATAAGAATAAAATATATATTTTAAGTTAAGATAAGACTAAAATATATTTTTAAGTTTAAAATAAGAATGACATATATATTTTAAGTTAAAATAAGAATAAAATATTTTTAATTATTTAAGATAAAAATAATATATTTATTTTAATGTTACTATGCTAATTTAATTTAATATGTGAATTTAAGTTAACATATATAAAATATTAAGAATTTAAATTTAGAATAATATACAAAATATATATCATATATAGTCTATTTTAAATCAAAAAGTCTACTTGAGTCTATGGTTGGTTGCTTTAACTCCCATGAAAATAAAAGTAGTAAAAGAGCAAATGTGTGCAACCCTGGTTTCATTCCTTGCTCCCCCAATTCAATACTCATAATTTTCTTTCCACGGGAGGGTGACACATGTCACCTTCTAATTGGTAAAAAATATTAAATTTATTTTAATTTATAAAAATAAAGACCAAATTGATAGAATATGTAAGTAATAGAGATCAAAGTGTAATTATATCAAGTTTTTAACTGTCACATCAGTTTCTCCGTTAAATATTAACGGAAAATTGTTTGATTAAATGCATTTAAATAATTAGGTGACCTGATTAATAAAAATTTAAAAATGATAGTCAAAATGAAAAGGAACAATAGCCAGGTGGTTACTGGTATTATTTACCCTTACTTTTACTAGGGAATAAGAGCAGACGCAGCATAACTGGAATGTGTTCAGATGCTGACGGGGCATCCGGGAGATATTCATGTCTCTGAATCAGCTCCACGTCGGATGCACGCACGATCTCTCCGAATAACTGGTAACAAATATTCAATGAAGATGGACCCACCTCTGACCTTTTTAAGCTTTGCAGAGGCTTCTTTTCAGTCACACCTATGAATTCCAACATTCTGCATTGCCCCATGATCACTTCCTTGTTTCATATTTCTCAAATGATCACTCAGATTTCTATTTCCCTAAATATCTGTTATTATACGAATGAAAGATAAGTTATAATTATTATTATATTTAATTAAAGGTATATATGTAAGTCTAAGTTAAGTTATAGTATATAGTTACTATAAATATATATCAAATACTTAAATAAAAGAAAAATATATAACTTTTATTTATTTATTTATGCGTTAACATATCATATAAGGTGAACCCAAGTATTACAAACCAAGCCCCAAATACAATTAAGTCTAACTTTTATATATTGTACCTTAGTATGTAAATGATTTGCTCAAAATTAATAATATTTTATATATCTTAAATTTTAAAATTATCTTTTATTTTTTTAGCTTTTAAAATTAAAATATATTTTAATATACTTTTAAGAGTTAACTTAATAATAAAATATATTTTTAATTTGAAATAAGAATAAAATATATTTTTAAGTAAATATAATAGTAAATATATATATATATATTAAACTAATAATAAAATATTTAAATATATTTTAAGTTATGATATTTTTAAAAATATATTTTTAAGTGATGATAAAGATAAAATATATATATTTTTACACTAAAATAAAAATAAAATATATTTAATAAGTTAAAAGAAAAGCAAAAGATAATTTTAAAATTTAAGATATATAAAATATTATTAATTTTGAGCAAATCATTTACATACTAAGATACAATATATATCATTTGTTGTCAAAAACATACCAAATGGTTGCCTTGACTCAATGGTTTGGTTTCTTTTATTCCAGTCAAATGTCTCGAGTTTGATTCCTCTTACCCCTCTTATTGCGTGGAAAACAAATCTATTAAATTAAAATAAATTTAGTCCTCCAATCGAATGGCGACATGTGTCATGACAGGTGTCACCAATGACACATGTCACCTCCTGATTCAAGGATTAAATTTATTTTAATTTATTACAATTGAGATCAAATTGAAAGAATATATAAGTAACAAAGACCAATTGTGTAATTATACCAAAATATTTTAACTCCCACGTCACCTACTCTGTTAAATGTTAACGGCAGATGGCTTGATTGAAGCATTTAAATAGTTGGGTGGTCTGATTAATCAAATTGAAACATCAGAGGTCAAAATAATTTTTTACCATAGTTGAGTGGTCACCCGTGTAGTTTACCCTAATTGTTAATAATTTTTTAATTATTGACAACATACATATATTTTAATGATATAGTCGTGTAGTTTACCCTAATTGTTAATAATTTTTTAGTTATTGACAACATACATATATTTTACAGATTTAGTCATTCGGATCTGAAACTTTCTAAAAGAATAATACTCTCTATTATTATTGACGTCATTTAATGGATTCTTATTTTTTATTCTGATATTTTACTTTTAAAATTAACATAATATTTTTTATATATATCATTGTTCTACTGCCATCCATCATTGTTTGTGACATAATTTATAATCAATTATGGGATAAATTATCTCTCTATGTACATATAATCAGCATGTGGAGCAGTCACTAGCTGGTGTATTTAATTGATAACCCATCAAAATTGAAAATTCTTCCCCGTCTAATTTAATAACTGATAACCAATCTTTTACTACTAAACATATAAAGTTTTGTTTATACTTTTTTAAAGTGATACTCCAAAATCCCATTTTTGCTTTCAGCGGCGACTTCTAAATTTGATACACAAATAACACATACTTTCAAACTTCTAACACAAGAGGAAAGTAAAAAAGAGTGCTTGAAAACCAAATTTAAACCTCATAGTTTATCTTTCTTGTGAAACTAACGGGTAAAGGAACCCACCATCACCCTTATTTATCGAATCGCCGCCGTTTCTAGTAGCTCATATCACTCGCTGTCGCCGTTCTTTCCCACAACAGTCGCCGCTGTTTCAGGGCTCATCAAAGCTACAATCTCCTTCTCCACTGCTTTCTGAGCATCAAAATC